ACCACCACCAGGCCCACCTTCCACGGGCCCGTATCGGCCGAACGGTCCCGAGGGCCCCAGTGCACCCACTTTTACTGCGGTGTTATCCCAACGGCCGTTAAATCGCACTTCTCACACTTCCCCCCTTGGCTGCCAGTTTTTTTTCGTCAGCACACACTCGATATTTTGACAATTCGCTCCTCTTTTTCCCCTATATTCTATTTGCCTCGAGTTATCTCGGCGTTCGCGTTACTCTCGTTTGTATAAACCACGTTTCAGTTATCACTTTGTTGTACGGACGATTTTTTGATGTAATCTTTTCGCAGTTAGTACGGTTTTTTCTTTAATTTTCTCAACTCTCCGTCTCAATGTTTTTCTTGGTCAGATTCTATGATAGAATCACTGGTCATTTGAATTCCCAATTTTTGTATTTCGATGCCGTTTTATCACCGTTCGTGTATCTCAGCTGACCAGCCGGTACCGCCGGCACATCGTAAAACTTGGTCGCGTTAAAGTCGTTTTCCTTTGGATCTACACACTCCGCGTTGGATCATGGCGCCGATGAGACCGGTATCGCGATAGATCTTTCAGACGCGACGTGCGCGTCCGCGCGACGGACCACATTAAGAGATGTCTGCTTCTTTTACTTCTCCGCCAAAATCTCGTTACTATCTATTTTTCGCCGTACCAACAAAACTTTACCCAAATTTCTATAAACAAATTATAAGAAATCCGCACTCTTTTTCTTTCTTTTTTTTTTTTTTTTATTTATCTTTCACGAATCGAAGTAAATTGTAACGGAAAAATATAACTCGAAATGATGAAACGACTCAAGGAGAACGCGAACGAATCGAAGAAATAAAACCGGTTAAAAACGATGTGCTTTACCGAACAATACGAAATATGAAACACAACGATCCCGAGCACGCTCGCCTCGAGTTCGCCAGCCAACTGGCTGCACCTGTGACAACCGCGAGGGCCCCCCTCTACTTCGACCAGACGTCGCGCGCCTCGCTAGAACGGGCTACGCCCATTGGACACGACCACGGCGCGGGACCTTCCGTGCTCCGTTTCGATTGGTTGGCTAGGCCCCGCTCGGGCGTAGCCAACCCCGTGCGCCGGCAGACATGGCCGTGGAATGGCTGCGGATCTCTAGCGGCGGACGGGACGCTTCTGTCGTTGCTACTGCTTCTGCTGCTTCTGCCGCCGTGTTGTTGCTCGAAATAGCCTGCCGCCTGATTCTCCTCGTCTCTGACGCGCTATCGATCCCCCTTCGGCGTATACCGAAGAGAAGAGTGCCTCGCGAAATGCCACAGGTTTCAGAGAATCTTTACCACTCGCGCCCGCGAAATATTCCTCTTTTCTCCTCTCCGCCCTTCGCTTCTCACTTCTCTACCTTCTTCTTTTCCCTTTTATTTCCTTCTCTTGCTTCTTCCCATTTACCTGATCTCAGATCATGGCATCTTTCTTCTTTTTTTTTATTTGCCGCTTTCCTTTCCGCGAACGTACGTCAATCTTCTTTCTCGCTTCCTCTGTTATTCGCGCCGATAGCATACATACCTATCTGTGTACATGTATTTATGCGCCCTCTGTCCGATTCACGAGACATAACCTTATCGCGAGGCTCGTTTTGTGACGGAGGCGTATACCGAGGCAACGCATTGCTTTCTATCGATTAAGGACCTCTTTGCGCTATTGTTCGATGTTTGGTTTTAAGAATCGATATCAATAAATTTTTGTTTTATATATATCATGAAATATCGTCAATGTCGTTCTCAAGATAAACATTTTAGGCGATTAATATTTTTTTAATACGACTCAATTCTGATCCGGATTCGCGCGTGACTTTCATATTGTTTGACGAGTATTATTTGTTCACTACACAGAGAACGATTCAAAGGAATTATACATATATTTCACGGTGAATCTTTTTTTAAATATATACAATAACAATAATTATATTTTTGCATTAATTATTTTAAAAATTCTATTGAATTTTAACATACGAAAATGTCAAAAAAAAAAATAACGGTCATCCGCCACCATAATTAGCCGTAAACAAGTAGCTTCTATAAATTACATTGGACTGGTTAAACTTATTACAAGACTATAGACTACTGAAAAGCTGCCAAGATTATTATAGGGTTTCGTGAAAAATCAACCGTTCTCTGAATATGACAATTTGTAACATGATATTTGAGTAAGTAGATATTCCATTGATCATGTATTTTATTCTCTTTTTGTAAATGCACATTCTTCTAAAAATTTCCTAAAATCAAAATTCCTTTTTCTTATTCTTGCATTCTTATATCATTCTTTATCGAACGATTAAAAGTTAAAAGAATAAATTCAAAGAAACATCGATTGATAAAGTATAAAAAAGTAGTTTGAATCTGTTATATAAAATTATTCTTATTATCTAAAATTATTCTTGACAACTTTATCAATTTCAATAGCGTACATGAAACTGTTAATGATCAATACGATATTCGCGATAAAATGTTATTAGTTTTACAAATTTTATTGTTACACAATTTACACAATTACTAACTGTTGATTGTACATTATCATTGGTATCAAAATGCTTCCGTTTCGATACATTTCGTTATTCTTATGTTGTAAATTTTACGAAATAGATACATGAAATTTCACAATCCTGAAAAGCGTTGTATTTTTTTGCATGTTTTATTTGCAACTCGACTAATAATAAATCGTATTGCATTAATATAATATGCAATAAGTACATGAGGAATTAACGAAAAATTGATATCCTTTCTCAAATTAAATTCTACTTAACCTCTAAACATTTCGATTGTAACACATTTCAATAAGATTAAATATCATAAAAATTTAAGATAATAATTAGAAGATAATAATTTTATTTTAATTTTTATATGTAATTTAAATAGATATATGATTAGCTGGAAAAAAGAAAATAAAAAAACAAATGTCATAATCA